CCTATCTCTTATAATCCTTTCCAACACTTTACCCACAACCGAAGTAAAGCTTAGCAATTCTCAATGCCCTTATGTCAAGTGATCATTTGAAACAAACCACCAAGTAATATTTTTTGACGGTCAGTGTTTCCTTGAACGTATTTTGTTCCTTATAAACTACAAATTCCCTAATAGTTATAACCATTATACCGAAAACAAAACTTATTTCACCATTTTCCAACTCTAAATTGATTTTTGATAACTTCTCCAGTTATGACAATTTGATACATTTTCCCACCTGGAGAAGATGCAAATATCAACCAACCACCTTGACATAAACCAATCCCCAGAGAAGCAACAGGACAGAGAGCAGTGAACAGATCCCTTCTAGGCCCGAAACGTCAGCCTTTCTGCTCCTATGATGCTGCTTGGCCTGCTGTGTTCATCCAGCCCTGCACCTTGTTGTCTCCCTTCTTGCCATCCTGGTCTGAATAAAGTGTGATTTACTATGTAGCAAATACCATCTAAACAGAAACAGGATTGAAAGAGAACAATATGTATTGAGCTGATCCCATGAACAACATGTGAGTCCTTCTCTCTGTTTTGTTTCTATCCTCACAATAGGAAAGTCAAACTGAATGGGAGCCCAGACAGAGGATGAAAGCTGCTGCACTTTAGCCACAACCCTCAGACTCCACTTTTCAACAAACGGTGATCTTCCAAATATTTTTCATTATCTCGCTGCTTACAAGAGTGTTAATAGCCATCAACTCCTACTTCACAGAAATATATTTCCTTGTTGGAACAGGTGCTGTCCATCTATACACAGTTTCCTCAAAGGCTGACAGGTCATATAATATCATTTTGCTGGTTTAAGTGAAACTGGTTTCTTGCTGATCAATATTGCTGTAATTACAAGTTCAGCTATCACCAGGACAGCAAGTAAAATCCATCTGTATCTGTTTTCAATTCCAGTGTCAATATCTGTTCAAAACATATTTACATCATGTTTCAGTGAAGTATGGATTTTTTTTGCCAACACATTTCAAACCAACAATTTGACTTCAGAATGCTAATTGTGTGAAGCACCAGACAGATGTGGCACTGAACACACTGGAATTCAACGAGAATTTAAAAACATGGAAAAGGATCAAATGTAATTTGTGGGATGTTCATTTGCATGTGAAGTACAAACTTAGTAGTACAAAACATTAAGGTGAGAGTTTCATCCACATTGCTCTACAGTGGAGTTATAAATGGAGGTAGTGAACTTGCTATTCCACATATGATCCTCAGGCATTTTCCTAGACCTGACGCTACAGCAATGATCCAGTTATGTTTTATATAAAAAGTCATTCATGAGAGATGGATTATTCTTGGCAAGGTCAGCATTTATTCCTCAGACCCAAATGTCCTTGAGAAAGTGATGGTGTGCCACCATTTCAAACCGTTGATGTCTGATTGATGAAGGGACGGGATTGTAACCCAATGTCAGTGAACGAACGGTGATAAAGTTTCAAGTCAGGGTGGTGTGTGGCTGGGAGGGGGGTCTTACAGGTCATGGTGTTCTATAGGTCTTCTGCACTTGCCCAGCTGTGTGGTAGAGGTCACGGGTTTGGAAGGTGCTGTTGAAGGAGCTTTAGTTAAATTTAGTGAGTTGCTCACTGAGCTAAACTGACAGTTGATTTGCAGTGCAGTGTAATGCCAACTGTGTGGGTTCAATCCCCACACCAGAAGAGTTCTCCTTCTTGACCTCTTCCCTCACCTGATGTGTGTTGACCCTCAGGTTAAAACCACCACTAGTAGTCTCTCTCCAACGAGAGAGCGGTCCTCTGGTCTGGTAAAAACCAGGGCAACTTTACCCTTACAGATTTGCTGCCGTGCATTGGTGTGGTTTACAGGTGCCACAGTGCAAGAAACGAGATTTGAAATAGTGGATTAGGTGCTAATTCAGCAGACTGATGAAACAGGTGCAAACTTTGTGTGTCTCTGCAAGTCAAAGACTGACATAGAAGATTAACACCATCCAGGGGAAAGCAGCCCACTTCATTAGTTGTGGATGTTTGCCAGTCACTTAATATCAACACTCAATACACTCTGCTGCTATTAGCTACAAGATGCAGAGCAGAAATTCATCAAAGGCCCTTAGACATTTCCTTACACCTCACTTTCTAAACACACGACTACTTCCATCTAGGACAAGGGCAGCAGATACATTGAAACATGATCCCTGCGAGTTCCCCTCTAAGCCACTCCCCATCCTGACTTGGAAATATATCACCATTCCTTCGCTGTCACTGGATCAAAATCCTGGAATTCCCTCCCTAACAGTATTGTGGGTCTAACTACAGCAGTTCAAGAAGACAGCTCACCACCAGCTTCACAAGGGGCAACGAGGGCAGGACAATAAATGCTGGTCCAGCCAGTGACACCAACACAGCAGGAGTGAAAAACAAAGAGAGTCATGTTGCAACAGTATACGTACTCAGCTGCTTTTAAAATTCACTTTAACTGCATTAGAAAGTCAACCTGCCCCTTTATATTTCAAATGATCTCCATGGTGGAGTGCTTATGATGAACATTCCACTTTGTAAAACCTAACTCTGCAGAAGGAGCTGAAAAAAATGTGTTTTAAGTGATTTAGGTAGGGCCCAGTAAAACAGTGTTTCTCCATGAACCAAAGGAGGAGGATGTTGGCCATTTTCACTGAATCTCCCATCCAATCTCTCCCACTCAGGCTCTCTTGCAGGGCTCCCAATACTTAACAGATGTCCTGATTTTTCATCTGGGGGAAAACAAAATCAGTGCATAAACATTCAGATGAATTTACTTACCAGAAGATAGCTCAAAAGTCCAAGAAATGGACTGCTGTAAAACATCATTCAGTAATCGAAATGTGAAATTTGAACTCATACTGGTGCCATTGATTTGCAGACTGCTCTGTACTGAATACAGTCCATCTTCACCAAGTTGGCACAGAGTCTCAGACAGTGCAGAAATATCCAGGTGCTTGTCTTTTAACCAGGAAACAGTAGGTTCAGGGAAACCACGAGACTCAAAGATAAAGTTTGTTCCATTTGATGTTTGTACAATTCTTAGGCTGGGCTCGGTGTAGTATGCTGATGAATTTAAAAAAAAACTCAAGAAATATATAAACTGCAAGACAAACAAAATACAAACTTCACTTTAAATTCTTGTTATCGGTGGGTAGGCTGGGTAGGGAAGAAATTGAGAAGCAATGCATTTGAAAGCAGTCATACACAGCAGAGCAGGACCCTCCACCTGGAGCTCCTCTGCGCTGCCCCTTTTTCTTTGTCTCTTTTAGTTCCCTTTCCTGGAGTGTTTTTGTTTCAAACTTTAAAACTTAACCTTACTCAGAGGGCAGTGTGGGGATGTGGGTCCCAGAGGCTGTCGCGGGGAGGCAGTGCCCTTGCAGACTGTAGGCTAGGGGCTGACATAGACTTGGATGAAAAAGACTGTAATTCAAGTTTTCTTTTATATTACTTCAATTTTGTACCAAATACCTCTGTACCTAGGTACCTTGCACCTAAGTTGGCGCCATAAGCAGCAACATTGCCAACTTTGCACTTATTCGAGTGCATGTGACAATAAACCAAATTCAGTTCAGTTTACATCACTTATGCAGTTACTTCCTTCGTTATCCTCAAGGATGTGTTTGCAAGCTGATTGACCAGGGTGTAGTAAGTCAGGAACAAAATTAGCTAAAACCAAAACTGATACTCTCTCCTACATACATTAGATGGGCTCTTTGACTAATTTTATTAGTTAGTAGGTCCATAGATAAACTTTAATAAGATCTTATGGTGCAGTCGATAGCATTCCTGACCTGGAGCTAGATGCACTGTTTCAACCAGGTCTTGATGACCAAGGAAGGAGAATTCATAACTGGGCCTAACCAGTTGAGTATTGATCATTAATTCCATTCAACACATTCCATGCCAATGCCAAATGGTAACAGCAAGACAGACTTCAGGTCAGCCATGCAAAGGAAATAAATTGGAGCATCTGTGATCACTACCCGTAGCTTGAGATTACACAGTGTGCATGCTCGAGTACAGGATGCCACAGAAAGTTGTACTTCTTGGCATTGCCAGGTAATTAGATGGTTGGTGAGAATCAAATTACCCATAGTGTCCAGGGCTCTGCAGGCTAGGTAGATTAGCCATGGGAAATATGGGATTATAGGGATGCGATAGGGGTCTGGGTCTGGGTGGGATGCTCTTCAGAGAGTCGGTGTGGACTTGATGGGCCAAATGGCCTGCTTCCACACTGTAGGGATTTGATGATTAAAACATTGAGACACAAGAGGTCACTCCTGTTTTATCTTCATGGTGCATTAATTATATGCACATGTGCTGCTTTTCAGGTGTATGGAAATGATCAAGTTTGCGGATGAAATCTTAAGGCAGTGTCTAGAATTCAAGCTGCATGCATTTGCACCAGTAAACTCAATTTCCACATCCTATAAAGATCCTCATTGTAGTTTCTTTGCAGCCAAAAGAGAGAATCCAGAAGGTGGTGTAGCCGGCTGGTGCCTGGGTTAGGGACATCTGCTCTGCTCTCTGTTTCAACATGAGCCTAGCAACACCAACTGGGACCTCTTCATTTTTAAGGACGCATTACTTTGTATTTGCAGCATTCAGTTATTATTCTCTCACTTACCCATTATAAATTATATTATTTCTTGGTTTCATAATCATAGGTAGGAGCTCACGTTATAAACTAATTCTCACAGTGTTAAATGTGAGACACATCAGCATTGCCTAAAAAAGCATTTTTGCACACACTGTGCAATGCATTTTAGATACACAACAATCTCAGGTAAATGAAGTACTTTTGGAAGTCTAAGCCCTGTTCACCTGGGAGCCTTGGATGAACAACTCATCTGAAGGACAGGACCCAGAACAGGGCTGTATTCTTCAATACTGCACAAAAATTCTGCATCATTGAATTTTACAGTACACATGAGGCCATTCTAGCTATTGTGTCTGTACTGGCCTGAAAGGCCAACCCAGTTTGTCCCATTCTCCAACCATATCTCTGTAACCCTGAATTCAACACTTCCAAATATTTATCCAGCTTTCTTTTGAAACTGTATGGAATCCACCTCCACTACGCTCCCAGGCAGTACATTCCAAATCCTAACAACTCTTGGAATAAAGAAGTTTCTTCTCACCTCACTCTGAACTCTTGCTGACAACCTTCAAATTGTGACCTGTGGTTACAAACAATATGAACCAATGGAAACAGAATATCCTTCTTGATGCCAAAAAATTTTTCATAATTTGGAACACATCAATAAGGCCACCAATTCTTCCTCTTGGAAGGCAACTATTTTTGGTCACTTTCAGAATCAAGCCTTCTCTCAATTCCTTTACTCCCATTTTCTCTCTTTTGCCCTCGTTGGTCCTTCCAAACCTGAGACCAGCTTTTTCCTTTCCCAGATGTGATAGCAATGTCCTGGAAATCTAAACCAACACCATCCCTCAAGCCACACATTTACCTTCCTAACCTGCCATTCCCCAAATGCTGATGCTTGTGCCACAGGCAGTATTCAAGATTCCTATCCAAGAGACCCTGTGTCCATCCTACTCCCTAATTCCTGAAACTGTCTGATAAATCCTCCAAGCTATTCCTCCCTCTGTTGTTGGTTCCCACATGAACCACTACCACTGGTTGTTCATCCTCACTTTCCAGAGGTTTATCCAGTCATTCCATTATGTCCCTTGCACCCATGTGGTAACATACCTTATGGGATTCATGATCTCAATTTGCAAACTATTGCGTCATTTTACCACTACTACCTTTCTAATCTGCCTCCTAGCCTCTTTCTTTTCCAGCACCCCTCAATCAGTGATGCTGCTCACTAAATAGGCATCTAAAATTTTGTACCTGTTTGACAGGAGTGCTGGCTTTCCTGAACTTACATTTCATTCTCAACCTTCTGAAGCAGGACCTAGAAGCACAACATTCTGACTCAGGAGAAGATGTCTTGCCACTGGACCAGAACTGGAGCAGAGAGGTGAATTTCTGAGTGTTAACGATCTAGTGCCCTCATTGCAAAAAAAAAAAAAAACAGTAGATGTGTCAAAGCAACCGGCAACAACCAACCAGCCTGCTACCACAGACAAAGTAGTCAAGAAAGAACCAGCCTGAGCTGTTACAAATTGGTGTCTAAAGGGCTACTTCTACTTGGAGGGTGCCCCACAGAGGCCCAACAGAAGACTGTTCATGTGTTTCTTCCAGGGGAAAAATGTACAGAACTGTTTTAAACAGAGCATACTATGATCTGGAGTGCACTACCTAAAAAGCAGGTGGAAGCAGATTCAATGCTAACTTTCCAGGGAGAACTGGGTGCACTCAAAGGGAAAAATACACGAGTTATAGGTGAAGAATAGGGATGTGGGATTAACAGGGTGTTTCCTTCAAAGAGCCAGCACACACTCCATGGGTGAAGTGGCCTTCATGTGCCCCAGTGGATTGTTTTAATCTATGTAACGTTTCTAATTAAGACTGAAAAATAATTCCAATTGTGTGAAAAGCAGCTGTACCCATTCTAGCTCGCTATACTGGTAAACTGGATCAACAGTGAAATTCTACACAAAAACAGCATTTGTTTTTCCTGTTGTATCCAAATGGGATTGTACCTGCAATTTGAAGGGAGAGAATTCCCGTGCTATTTTCTAGTGGCGTTCTGACAGAGCACATGTACTTTCCAGCATCATTTAGCTTCACATTTTCAAATTTCAAGGAAGCATTTCCCCTTTCCAACTCCTCTGGGAAGAGGCTCACTCTGCCTGAATATTGCTGACTCTGTTCATTAAGCTGGTTTTGTCCGTGGTAATAGCTCCATAGAATCTCTTTGGTCTCGACACGTTGCCACAAGACGATGATCTGATGGGATAAGAAGCCACTGAAGAAATGACATGGCAGTATGGCATTTCCATCATGGATGGAGAGTACAGTTTCTTCCCAAACACTGATTTGCAATTGATCTGTAAAATTGGAGGTGATTAACGTTCTTCATATACAAGCGATATTTTAATAGATCATGTTTACACATTACGTGGCCACGAATTTCTATCCCATTTACTTTTCTAAAACATGTTAGAATGGAAATTCCACCCATTCCAACCTTTCACAGTTAATTGGCCAACAGGAACAGACCAGAAATTCTGCCCAAGGGTAAAAGAATCACTGTCTGTTGTATTCTGATCCTGGCGATTTTACCCTTCCTTTAGCAAAATGAGCAGCATCAATTAAATGAAAACTTTAGATTGAAGTTAGTCTTGAGTTTATTCTCTGTTGAGATGTTTGATGTCAAGCATCTCAGTGTATATTTTAACCAATGTGAAGAAGTTTACTGTGCAGATAAAACACAGTATTGTGGTTTAGATTTACTCTCATGTAGTACTTTTACTTCTGATCAGTACTGGGGAGAAGGGACCTGTTCTGGCTACATTTGAATTGTACAAAGAACAACCAAAGAAATTAAGGGGGAGGAAATAAACTTTGAGGGTAAACTTGTGAGTAATATCAAGATGGACAGCAAGAGCTTCTTTAAAATATGTAAAAAGAAAGAGAGGGGTCAAAGTGAATGTATACTCATTGCAGAACAAGGCTGGGGAAGTAATAATGGGAACCAGCAAATAGCAGAGCTGAATAACAAGGTGTAGAGCTTGGATGAACACAGCAGGCCAAGCAGCATCAGAGGAGCAGGAAAGCTGACGTTTCGGGCCTAGACCCTTCTTCAGAAATGTGGGAGGGGAAGGGGGTTCTGAAATAAATAGGGAGAGAGGGGCAGGCGGATAGAAGATGGATAGAGGAGAAGATAGGTGGAGAGGAGACAGACCGGTCAAAGAGGCGGGGATGGAGCCAGTAAAGGTGAGTGTAGGTGGGGAGGTAGGGAGGGGATAGGTCAGTCCAGGGAGGACGGACAGGTCAAGGGGGCAGGATGAGGCTAATAGGTAGGAGATGGGGGTGCGGCTTGAGGTGGGAGGAAGGACAAGTTAGGGAGGCAGGGACAAGCTGGGCTGGTTTTGGGATGTGGTAGGAGGAGGGGAGATTTTGAAGCTTGCGAAGTCCACATTGATACCATTGGACTGCAGGGTTCCCAAGCGGAATATTCGGGTGGCATCACTGTGGCACTGCAGGAGGCCCAGGATGGACATGTCGTCTGAGGAATGGGATGGGGAGTTGAAATGGTTCGCGACTGGGAAGTGCAGTTGTTCAGTGAGAACTGAGCGTAGGTGTTCTGCAAAGCGGTCCCCAAGCCTCCGCTTGGTTTCCCCGATGTAGAGGAGACCACAACGAGAACAGCGGATACAGTATAGTACATTAGCAGATGTGCAGGTGAACATCTGCTTGATGTGGAAAGTCTTCTTGGGGCCTGGGATGGGGGTTAGGGAGGAGATGTGGGGGCAGGTGTAGCACTTCCTGCGGTTGCAGGGAAAAGTGCCGGGTGTGGTGGGGCTGGAGGGGAGTGTGGAGCGGACAAGGGAGTCACGGAGAGAGTGGTCCCTCCGGAAAGCAGATAAGGGTGGGGAGGGAAAGATGTCTTTGGTGGTGGGGTCGGATTGCAGATGGTGGAAGTGTTGGAGGATGATGCGTTGGATCCGGAGCTTGGTGGGGTGGTATGTGAGGACGAGGGGGATTCTGTTTTGGCTGTTATTGCAGGGAGGGGGTGTGAGGGACAAGTTGCGGGAAATGCAGGAGACACGGTCCAGGGCATTCTCGACCACTGAGGGGGGTAGGGGGAGGTTGCGGTCCTTGAAAAACGAGGACATCTGAGATGTTTGGGAATGGAATGCCTCATCCTGGGAGCAGATGCGGCAGAGGCGAAGGAATTGGGAATAGGAGATGGCATTTTTGCAGGAAGGTGGGTGGGAGGAGGTGTATTCTAGGTAGCTGTGGGAGTCGGTGGGCTTGAAATGGATATCAGTTTCCAGGTGGTTGCCAGAGATGGAAACAGAGATCCAGGAAGGAGAGAGAGGTATCAGAGATGGTCCAGGTGAACTTAAAGTTGGGGGTGGAAGGTGTTGGTGAAGCGGATGAACTGTTCGAGCTCCTTGTGGGAGCACGAGGCGGCGCCGATACAGTCATTAATGTTACGGAGAAAAGAGGTGGGGTTTAGGGCCAGTCTAGCTACGGAAGAGGGATTGTTCCACGTAACCTACAAAGAGGCAGGCATAGCTTGGGCCCATGTGGGTACCCATGGCCACCCCCTTTGTCTATAGGAAGTGGGAGGAATTGAAATAAAAGTTGCTGAGGGTGAGGACGAGTTCGGTTAAGCGGATGAGGGTGTCAGTGGAGGGGGACTGGTCGGGCCTGCGGGACAGGAAGAAGCGGAGGGCCTTTAGGCCATTTGCATGGGGAATGCAGGTGTATAGCAATTGGACGTCCATGGTAAAGATGAGATGTTGGGGACCGGGGAATTGGAAATTTTGGAGGGCGTGGGTGGTGTCACGGATGTAGGTAGGGAGTTCCTGGATCAAGGGGGAGAAAATGGAGTCGAGACAGGTGGAGATAAGTTCGGTGGGGCAGGAGCAGGCGGAGACAATGGGTCGACCAGGGCAGTCAGGTTTGTGGATTTTGGGAAGGAGATAGAAGCGGGTGGTGCGGGATTGGAGAACGATGAGGTTGGAGGTCACCTGAGGTGATGAGGCTGTGGATGGTTTGGGAGATGATGGTTTGGTGGTCGGGGTGGGGTCATGATCAAGGGGGCGGTAGGAGGTGGTGTCGGAGAGTTGGCGCCTGGCCTCGGCGATGTAGAGGTCAGTGCGCCATACTACAACTGCGCCTCCCTTGTCTGCGGGTTTTATGGTGAGGTTGGGATTGGAGCGGACGGAGCGGAGGGCTGCACGTTCTGCGGGGGAGAGGTTGGAGTGTGTGAGAGGGGTGGAGAGGTTGAGGCAATTGATGTCTCAGCAGCAGTTGAAGATGAAGAGGTCGAGGGAGAGTAGGAGGCCTTGGGGTGGTGTCCAGGAGGAGGGGGTGTGTTGGAGGCGGGAGAAGGGGTCAGTAGAGGGAGGGTTAGGTTCACAGTTAAAGAAGTAAGCGCGGAGGCGGAGGAAAAACTGTTCAACGTCCAAGCGTGAGCAGTATTCGTTGATGTTAGGGTGGAGGGGGACAAAGGTGAGCCCTTTACTGAGGACTGACCGTTCGCCCTCAGTAAGGGGGAGGTCTGGGGGGCGATGGTGAAGACTCGGCAGGGCTGGTGCTACTGTCTCCTGTAGAGCCGGCGGGCGGAGCAACGTCGGCATGTGCGTCTTCAGTGTCTGTGGTGTTGGCCTCGGAAATGGAGGTGGTGGCATCAGCAGCGGTGTCGATGGCGTTCGCTGTACCGGAAGTGGCGTACCCAGCGGCGGAGGATGTGACGTCATGCATGGGTGCCCTGATAGCGGCCACATGGCCAATGGCGGCAGGCACATTGTGGGGAAGGTCCTGGGTCGGGTTGGGGATTTGGGGGGGTGGAGTCTTCACAGTAGAAAACACTAATAGCATTCCAAAAATTACTAAATAAAATCAAGGCGCAAAACGAGGAGAGGAACTAAGTACAATAACTATCACTGGAGAAAATGAACTGGGGAAACTATTAGGGCCAAAGACCAATTTGTTTTGTAGAATCCTTACAGTGTGCAAAGAGGCACTTTGGCTCATCAAGTCTGCATTGACCCTTTGAAGAGCATCCCACCCAGAACCAATATCCCCACCCTATCACTGCATTTACTATGGCTAACCCACCTGGCCCGCACATCCCTGGACAGTATGGCCATGCTAAATTGCCCCAATACACCTAACCTATACATCTTTGGACTGTGGAAGGAATCCAGAGCACCTGACACAAACCCACAGTATCACAGGGAGAGCTTGAAAATTTGCTTAGTCACCCAAGGCTGGAATCAAACCTAGATCTCTAGTTCTACAAGGCAACAGTGCTAACCATGGAGTCACTGCGCCAACCTAAAGGCTTTGACCTGATGGGTTGCATCTTAGGGCATTAAAAAGATGAATCCACAGATAGTAATTTCCAAGAATCCTCAGTTTCAGCAAAACTCCTACAGGATTAAAATGTAACATTTATTCTTTAAAAAAGGGGATTAAAAAAGGCAACTATTAGCCAGTTAACTAAATATCTATTATTGGGAAAATATTAGAATCTGTTATAAATGACTTAGAAACACATTGCTTGATCAAACAGAGTCAGTATGGCTTCATGAAGGGGAAATCATGCCTGAGGGATTTACTTGAATTCTTTGAGGAGGCAACAAGCAGAATAGTGAACACAAAGAAGTGAATGTAACATGTTTGGATTTTCAGAAGGAATTTGATAAGGTATCACATTGTGAGCTACTTAATAAGGTAAGAGCCTATGGGGCTGGAGGCAGTATATTAGCATGGATAGAGGATTGGACAACTGATCGAAGACAATTGGGAATAGTGGGCCATTTGCAGATTTTCAACCTGCAACGAGTAGAGAGCCATATGGATCGGTGCTTGGGTCACATTTTATTTACAATAGAAATGAATGACTTAGACAAGGGACATGAGTGTACAAATGCCAAGTTTGAGGATGACAAAAATTATTGGTGATGATGATAGGCTGCAGGTAGATATATACATGCATACATGAAGCAAAGGGGGCAGAACCTGGCAGATGGAATATAATTTGGGAAAATGTGAGATTATGCACTTTGACAAGAAGAATCAAGAAGTTGAACATGATTCAAGTAGAGAAAGACTGCAGAAAGCTCCAGAACAGGGATTTGGGACACCTTGTGCATTAGTCATTAAAAAGTTTGCATACAAGTACTGTAGGGAAGATAAATGGAATATTGGCCTTTATTTCAAAAGGTACTATAATTGCTTATAAAAAGGTACTATAAAAGTAATGATGTCTTCCTCTACAAAGCACTAGTCAGACCACAGCTGGAATACAGAATAGTTTTGGGCCCTTCATCGAAAGAAAAATACAGGTATTGGAGATAGTCCAACGAAGGTTCTCTTGGCTGATCCCAGGCATGGAGGGACTGTACGTATGAGGAGAGGTTGAGTAGGTTGGGTGTGCATGCAATGGAATTTAGAAGAATGAGAAGTAACCTTATTGAAACAAAGATTTTGAGGGGAATACACTGCAGTAGCGATTTGAATATTCAACTCAAAATTAGGAAAAGAAAGAAAGTGCACTGATAGGAAGAAAAGGGAGGTCAAGAGACATAAAAGTAACTAAATCTCTACCATTTTGTAGTTCTTCATTCCTTCATCTGTAAATCTTGATTATCAGGGTCCAGTCCAATCCTTTTAGGGAGTGTTTAGTAGGTTGATCAAACCATTCACAGCAACGAACCATTATACTCCAGTTTATATGGGACTATAACCTCCTAATTTCAGAATTTTAAAACAAGTGTAGAATCCAGCAGTTGCTGTGCAATTCATCCCATAAAAAAGATAATTATTTGTCTCACAATATATTTAGTACAAGATCTGGGCCAAAGTCTATAAAAACAAGAAAGATCCAAAAAGGTCACCAAAGTATACATAGAGTCATACAACACAGAAACAGGCTCTTCAGACCAAGACAACAAGGTGCAGGGCTGGATGAACACAGCAGGCCAAGCAGC